GCAGGTCTTTTTAGCAGAACTGTTAGACACAGTTCCAATATTGTGTAATTTGAAGTTGAATTTTTAATGGATTTTAAGTCGAAGGAAGACAGTGTGAGGGAGTTGTGTCAAAAGCATTTTCCAGGGTGAAAAGGCTCCTGAAGAATGGGAGAAAAAAGTCTAGAGGGTTGGGAGTGGAACCCTGAGAGGAATCAGCAGGGGTGATCATGGCTGGCATGGCACTTAATTAAAATGGAAGTTTCAGGGGGAACTGACCAATCAGTAGAAGGGGCTGAGAAGTGGGGACAGGAACGGAGGTGTGGGGCTGTGGTGTCCTGGGAAGCAGCTGGTGATTGACTGGTAGAGTAAGAGGGGGTGTGAACCCTAGAACCATAGTGCATGAAGCCAAGGCAAAGGAGCAGTGGGTAGTAGATGGTACAGCAGCAGCGAGTAGAATTTCTTGGCCAACCCCTTTGAGGGGTGGCCTCTCTCAGCAACAGGGCTGATCTTGGCAGTGAACTTTGACGCTATTTCTGGCATGTGTTTCCTGCTTCTCCACTCTCCTTGCTACCTCTCAGGCTTCTTGACCACTTAACCTCTGCTGTTGTCTAGCTTCCTGATTAGCGTCTTTGATTCTTCCAGGCTATTCTTTCTTTTATCCAGATGCTCAAATAGTTTACCCAATGTGAAGCATGCCTAGGTCACAGGCTTTTGAGCTAGGGAACTAACCGATACTTTTCCAGAGTCCTGTGGAAAAGTCATTCTCCATTACCTATTGGATAAAATACAAAATCCATTTTGTTTTTGACATTAAAGATTCTTTACTGTCTGGCTCCAATTTAACCTCTCCAGCTTTACTTTAATTTACTTCTTTTCACAAACTTTCCATTCTGATCAAACAAGCCTTCTAGTTGTACACTGTTTTGTGACATTTCATTTCCACCACCATTCTTTTGTCACACTGTATTTCCCTAGGTCTATAGCGTACTTCCTCGTCGCCTCCATCTCTTACAAAGTAAAGCTGTGGGTACCATATATTTTAGCCCTTTCCTGAAACATACTGTACTGTCTCGCACCTCCAAGTTACTAACCTGTTTTTCACTCTTTTGTACTTTGCTTTTATTTGTGTACAAGTAAACTCTTTGATTTCAAGGACTATTTAATTTTTTGCCTTTTTATACCCCATTGCCTTCTGCAAAGCAGGCACTTTAACATGTTTGTTAAATTGAATTCAGTTCTGGACAAACCAGAATACTTGCCGTCCCCTGATCCCCTCTCTTTACTGCCTCTGTATATTTGGACAGATTGTTCCTGCTCCCTAAAGTGTACTGCTTTCACCTCTCTGCCTATTGAAATCGTCTCCAAGGCTTGACTCAGGGACTGTTTCCTATATGAAGCCTTCCTCTGTCAGTCCTTTCAGATCAATATAATTGTTATTTTATCGAGGATATTGTTGTACTTTGTCAGCCCTCTCTTTGCACTTAATCACATGCTACCTTGTATCATGTTTAATTCTATGCATTGCATCTTCTCCTTTAGGTTTTAAGCTCCTTGAGGTCAAAACCGGGTTTTTCATTAGGGTTCTTGTAGAAGTTGGATTTTGATCTGTCTTGAAGGAAGCCAAGCAGTTCAGAAGACAGAAGGAAGGAAGAGCATCCCTGGCAGATCAGTGGTGCTGAATGATATGAAATAGAATGGGTGATCAGAGAGATTGAGTTTTCTAAACTCTTGAAATACCCTATACAAGAGTTACTATTGTTGTTTATAGTTAACTGGATTGTTTTATACACTGTAGAGAGCTTATTTCTTGTTTAGGGCAGGATGCAAATGGGGCAACCTGGATCATTCACCTCATACTAGGTTGGGGTAGCTTAGCCTTTTAACACTGGTGATAACCCTAGACAGTAACACAAGTATGTTATTGTGTTTGGGTCTAAAGCTCTGGATTGGCCTAGTGTACTTGTCCTCGTTGCTTGTGATGTTACATAACAACTTGGTTCTGTAAAATCGGCTTCTTTGGAATCACACAGTTGGACTGAAATATTTATGAAAGTTTGCCAAAAGAGGAACTGCTGACAGAGTTTAACTTAACTTGAATAACTACAGCTATACAGCCTTGGCCAAATCTCTCCCTAATAGGTTCAGTTCTGCTTGTATTAAAATGCCTCTCCTGTTCTTGAGATGTTAGGGGTCACTTGCCCTTTTATTTTACTGGAATGTTGTTTCCAGTCCTTGCTCCTGGGTTCAGAATTGATTTTGGTAGGGAAATTTAGAGAATAGTTTCTAATTTAATGTTAAACATGCCTTCTTGCCAAATACTATCTTCTGTGATTGTATTTTTCTAAGTTTATATAGGTTCACAGATTTTGAGCTAGACAGGACCTTAGAGATTAACAAAGGTGAAAACATTTTCCCCATTCATTTTCTTAAATGAATTTTCTCTAAGGCTTGTTTCCTTCTCACCTCCAGAAAGTTCAGATTTCTGCATTAGGAATGAAAAATAAATAAATCTATGATCTGTGATCCTAATTATTATGTATAGTTGGGAGAAGCTTCATTCTTTTAAAATTTAACTGCTTTGGCCATAACATTGAAACCTGGATTCATGGATTTTCAGGAATGAGATTGTGATCTTTAATGTACCATTACTAGCACAGGAATAGGCTGAGTATGTGGGCTTTTTTCAGAGGAGAGCAATTTGATACAGGAAAGTCTGAGAACAACCCCTAGATATACCATTGGAACCTAGAAAGAAGCACTCAAACAAATATTAATTGAATGTTGGTCTTCTGTGTCAGTATGTAAGAGGAAGTTTTCCAGAAGTTCATCCCTCTCAAGTAAAAAGTCTGCTGTTGTAGGAGCAGCTAGGTGGCACAGTGGATAGAGCACTGGCCCTGGAGTCAAGAGGACCTGAGTTCAAATCCAGCCTCAGACCAGACACTTGATACTTAGTAGCTGTGTGACCCTGGGCAAGTCACTTAACCCCAATTGCCTAAAAACAAAACAAAAAAAAGTCTCCTATTGTTACCTCACAAGCTCCAGCTTTGTGCAGAATGGTTGATAGTATTTGTTGAATTGCATTCACATCTCCTCTCCAACTTCTTAATATTGTGGGGTTACTCAGTTCATAGTTATGTATGCCACTGGCAATTGCTAAAACTTTTGGTTGCTGGACCTACTATATTAGAGTAAGCTCCATGAGGGCAGGGGTAAATTAAACATATCTACTTCAGAATCTTAGCATATACCTCTGCACGTGGTAGGTGGCACTTATATGACTTTTTTTTTGTTTTTGTTTTTTGTTTTTAGTGAGGCAGTTGGGGTTAAGTGACTTGCCCAGAGTCACACAGCTAGTAAAGTGTTATGTGTCTGAGGCCGGATTTGAACTCAGGTACTCTTGACTCTGGGGCCAGTGCTCTATACACTGCACCTCCTAGCTGCCCCCACTTATATGTTTAAATGAATAAGTGAGTGAAAGAACAAACCTTCAGAGTATATTTCTTATTGGTCCTAGGAGAAAAACTTATCTTTGGTCTTCCTTGGTCTTTGACATCGGTCTCCAGCTTTCTAGTTGTACAGGAAAAAATATACATTACATCTTGACAGTCATCATACACAAGGCTGATTTTCCAGATGTTTATGTGTGATGTTTGTGTCAGCTCAGTGTTCTCTGGGTTCACTGTAGTCAAACCCCTGTGAGTTTCTTTGTCGCCTACCTTGAAGTAAGACTCCAGGAAAATCTCAACAATAAAACTTAAGTACAGCTTGTGTCTGTGATTTCCCCAAAATGGGTAAAAGGGCTCCCAGCTCCTACACAGGAACTCTGTAGATTTCATCGTTACGAAAAAATGCATGACACGAAGATATAGACGATTTCATCCTTTGTATATGGGTCCCCAGTACTCTATACAGTATCTCTTTATATTAGGCCCTTAAGAAATGCTTGTCATGTAATGAGTGACTCAAAGTCCATGTACAAATTCAGGAAAATAAAGCACTAAAATAGCCCATTAGGTTTGTACTAGAAGGTAAAGACTCTTTGTGGAATTGCTGGACAAACTACTCCTTATTCACTTACATCATCTGAACAGTCCATAGGAATAGCATGGATGGTTGGTGAAGCCAAGCTCTTCTGGCCCCTCATGCCTTTAGTCTCCCCAGTGATAGACAGTTCCCTTAAACTGTACACTGCTCAGCAAATTTTCTACCTTAGAAGTCTTTACTTTCAAATCCAAGAGCTCCTTATTTTGGGGAAACTTGAGAACTCAGAATAACCTATTTGGTTAACCTTCAGGTCTGGAAATATACTTTGTAAACTAGTCTCTAAGCAGGGGATTCAAATATAAAATAAAATCATCCCTGTCCTCAAGGATTTTACATTCTACTTGGGGAGCAACAGCACAACTTGAGTAAATTCAAAATATATAAAAAATGATTTTTAAGAGATAGAGCCACTGTTATGGGAGAGCCAGAAGATGGTCAGGAAGAGTCTGTTTTAAGAGGTGGCAGAAGGGCTGTATTGTGAAAGCTGAGACGCTAACAGAGGAGAAGTGGTAATATATTCCAAACATTGGGGACAGCCTATACAAAGGCATGGAGGTGAGATTTGTAATGTCCTGAATTGAGAACCACTAATAAGCCAATTTGGCTGGAATGGAAGGGAGTGATGTAGGTGTTTATTGTAGAATGAAAATGTTATATTAAATAGAGTGATGGTTTATAGCTTTTAAAATAATATAGTAACCTTTTTCCTTTAAACTGGTTAAAAAGTTTTATAGGGAATATCTTGACTCTCTAAGAAATCTTTAACAATCTGTCTTTTATCTGACTTAACCACCATGATTATACTTGGTAGAATATTGCTGGCTGTGTCTTTGCTCTGTAACTGACTGGTGAACATTACTTTATCTTCATCTACCTACCTAGGGGTAGTTTATCTAAACAGCAACTAGGACACTTAGAAATGTAAGTGTTAGGGAGAGGGTACTTGCTAAATAGTGTTTGAACATTGTATTTTGCAGATCTTTGAAATCCATCTTTAGTTAAGATGGCACCAGCAATTGGAGGTCCCCAGGGATATACTCCACCAGAAGGAGGCTGGGGATGGGTTGTGGTCTTTGGAGCTTTCATCTCTATTGGCTTCTCTTACGCATTTGCCAAATCAATTACTGTTTTCTTCAAAGAGATTGAAGTCATCTTCAATGCCACTTCTAGTCAAGTCTCATGGATATCTTCCATCATGTTGGCTGTTACATATGGAGGAGGTAAGTACCCACGCCACAGAGGGCCTTGAACCCTCATTAGTTTAGAAAAGATTCCTGGTTAAATAGTGACATGTTTGAAACATCAGTGTTTATAGTTATGACTGCTGTTTTATTTGCAGTTATCATTTGCCAGAAGAGCTCTGCTATTGTGTGCCTTGTAAAGTCTAATATAATGTACAATTCTAACATAGAAATCAAGAGATTTGAAGAGGCTGCAGGTGGTTAATGGAAGGAGCCATATTTGGCTGGAGAACTATGGCTGTTGGAATGTCAGTGCTTTGAAATTTGTTTGTTTTCCTCAATTGGAAAATGCTGGTAGCTAGTTTCTTATTGCTGCTGTCAGCTAAGTTTTCTCAAAATAAATTCTAAGTATGTGTTTATTTTTGTTGGTATTGGAAGAGTTAAAATTCAAACTAATTTTTTGGTTTCTCTGAAAAGGTTTCAGGTAAAAAGTTTTCATGATAATACAGTATCAAAATTGAATAATCTCCCTTTGTGTTTGTGACCTCATAAATATCAGAAACTGTTTAGCAAGACCTCAGACTTTCTGCTTCCTTATCTTCCTACTTTTTTTGGAATTGTATAAAAAGAGGATCATTACTTTCAATTTTTGTAAAGTAGTAATTTACAAGGCACTAATAAGAATGGCGGTTGTTTGTGTTGCCTCTGGGCATCAAGCGGCATTCTTTTATATTTAAAAATCAAACTACCATAAGCCTTAATTTCTGTAGCATTTAGTGTTGTAGCAAAGCCCTGGCAGAGGATCTACTGCGGACATTTATTAGATTTGATAAAGTAGATCTTCTTTATTTTATTCAAGATTTGACTTCTGTTTCCTTGTTGATTTTGGTAGCAGTCTAATGTCTCAAATTCTATTTTTTTCAGTTGAATATAGATAAACTTGTTAGTTTTGGGGTCTCTGTGCTCCAGATGTTAATAACATGAATAATATTGATAACAGCAATAATTTATAGAATGTCCTGTAGTTTTCAAAGTACTTTGACGTATATAGTTTCGTGACTTACCCTAAGGCCCTGAATTCGTGGCAGAATCAATCTATTAGTCTTTTCTAAGTACCTACCATTAGCTCAGTACTGTGTAAATTGCTATTGGAGGGATGCAGAATAAGTTAGAGATATGGTCTTTGCTTTTAAGGAACTTATTTAAAGAACTTATGGCCTAATCAAGTACTAATAATATAAGCATAAGTGAACAATATGATAGTATAAAGGGTTATGTGGTTTATTAGTGGCAGAGCCAGAATTTAAACCCAGGACTAATGCCCTTCTGACCCCAAATCTGAGACTCTTTTCACTATGCTTTTCTGTTTATTTATAAGAAGTACCTGAGAGTAATACATTCCAAGCAACCAAGATTGCCAAAAACATACTTTGGGTAACCAGAATCTGGTAGAAAGCTTAGAATGTCTTTCCTGAAAACAGTCTTGAGCTAGTAGTCTGAATTAATGGGCTTTTATCATGTGTATTTTCTACGTGAGGAAACCAGGGCCAAAGAAGAGAAACAACTCCTCCAAATTCTGCCACTTAATGGCAAAGCTACAGGTATAACCCAGGGCTCCTGATTTCTCGTCTGGTCCAGTGCTCTTTTTGTTGCATTATACTGTCTATTTCCGGTTAAGTTAGGTTAGGACCAATGGATTTGGAAAAGATTATGGGAGCCCAGAACTCTGAAGTCTTGCCCTATGCATCCCAGTATTCCAACAGTTTTCTAAAATATTTTCCCCTAAATTGTAAAAGTAGCTATTATCTTTTGGGAAATGTATTGCTTAATTTTTGAAATAGAGTAATATGACCTAGAGGTAGTCAATCCCATGTAGTTACTTGTATGTGCTTATAATTAATACTACTGAGCTCAAGTCTGGACTGGCAGAAAGCTTAAAATCCATTTGCATTTTGCATCAAAAGCAGCTGACATCAGCAGACTAATTGCACATGAAACTTTCCTCTGGGAAACAGTTTCTTCTTTGTCCCCTGTTAGTGAGGTGAAGTGACTAGCATATATTTCTGAACCAGTGTTATAAAGGTCTGGAAATTATAACCCTTTTGATTTTTAAAAACTGATTGATGCCATCCTTCTCCTTGGCTAATGACCCTGATGAACAAATTGTCCTAATGAGACTTGTTTCAGTTAGTGGCACGTGTTGTTTTTAAATGGTATGTCTTTTTTATAGTTGTCATAACATTTTAGTTTGAGTACTTCTGTGCCACACCCTGAACACTGACGTGCTTTGGGCTTTATGAAGAGGCCCTAATTGTTTTTCCTTCTCAGTGATCTGAATCAGAGACAACCCTGCCAATACACTTTTAGAGTAGATGGACTGCTTCTTGGGAAGTGTGAAGAGAAGGGCATATTCCATAGAATGATTACCCAGGGGAGAGAGAACATTACCTTTCCGGTTAAATCCCTTCAGTGTTGGCTCCTGAGCTCAAATAAGAGTGGGAGAGAAAAGTATCAATTTATTCCATATGCCTCTCAATGCTTTTTCCCCTAGGTCCCATTAGTAGTATCCTGGTGAATAAGTATGGCAGCCGGCCAGTAATGATGTTTGGTGGCTTCCTCTCAGGGTGTGGTTTGATCGCCGCTTCTTTTTGTAACACTGTGGAAGAGCTGTACTTTTGTGTTGGAGTCATTGGCGGTAAGTGGAGGTGTTCTTCTCCGTGTTGTGATTCCTAGCATTGGTTGTTCCGCCAGCTGTCTGCCGACATTTTTAAGGAGTGTCTTTTGACATAGATACCAAGACACCTTGATAGAAGTAGAGAAATTGGTAAGTGCTCAAAAGCAACCTCACAAAAATGATGTGCCTGACACCCAGAGCATTATTACAAGAAGTGCCATCTCTCTGTCTTCGTAAAGAACAAGCTATACCAGGCTAATCTCACTTCATTTTTCGACTTTGTTAGCAGACTGGTAGATCAAGGGAATATTGTAGATGAGGACTTTAGCAAAACATTTGTCAAAATCCCTTCTAATTCTCTTTTGGACAAGATGGAGCAATGTAGGCTAGATAATAGTACAATTAAAAGGACTCTCAGTGAATGACTGGTTCCAAAGAGTAGTCATAATTGATGTGAACCTAGAGGGAGTTCTCTTTAGAGGAGTACCCCAAAGATCTGTCTTTGGCCCCGTTAAATGATACTGGTAAACATTTTTGCTAATATCATGGATGAAGGAAATAATAACTGACATTTATGTAATGTTTAAAATTTTTCAAAGACTATATTCATTATATCACTTCTGCTTAACCCTTTGAGGTAAATCCTATAGATATTTTTATCCCCATTTAACCAAATAGGAAACTGAGACTAAGAGCCTATGCTTAGCATATAGTAAGCCTGACTTGCTGCTTGTTAATAGATTGATAAAGTAGTACTTCTTTGTAGGGTGATCAGATACTAACTCCTGGAGGTGATTCAGCCAGAGGTGGAGAAAGCGTAATAGATTTGAGGGAACAACACTCGTGATTATTTTTAATCCATTTACGTTACTTACCCCTTAAACATATTTTGAAGTTAATTGTTTCTTTTTCCTCCTCTTTAGGTCTTGGGCTCTCCTTCAACTTAAATCCAGCTTTAACCATGATCGGCAGATATTTCTTCAAAAAGCGTCCATTGGCAAACGGGTTGGCCATGGCAGGGAGTCCTGTGTTTCTCTCTACCCTGGCACCCATAAATCAGATTTTCTTTGATATCTTTGGCTGGAGAGGCAGCTTCTTAATTCTTGGGGGTTTGCTACTAAACTGTTGTGTGGCTGGATCTCTCATGCGACCTATAGGACCCAAACCAGGGGCAGTCACAAAAGAAGTATCTAAAGAATCCCTCCAGGAAATAGGGAAGCTGGACTCCAAAAAAGGTGCTGGTGATGCCAACACCGATCTCATTGGTGGAAACAGTAAGCCAGAGAAGCGTTCTTTCTTCCAGACAATTAATAAGTTCCTAGATTTTTCCCTATTCAAGCATAGAGGCTTTTTACTGTACATCTCTGGCAATGTGTTCATGTTTTTTGGATTATTTACTCCCTTAGTTTTTCTTAGTAATTATGCCAAGAGTAAGCATATATCTAAAGAGTCTGCTGCCTTTCTGCTCTCCATTTTGGCTTTTGTTGACATGGTAGCCAGACCCTCGATGGGACTTGTAGCCAACACAAAATGGGTGAGACCTCGAGTGCAGTATTATTTTGCTCTCTCAATAATCTGCAATGGTATATGCCACCTATTGGCACCTTTATCCACCAATTATGCTGGGTTTTGCGTCTACGCGGCATTCTTTGGATTTGCATTTGGCTGGCTCAGCTCAGTATTGTTTGAAACACTAATGGACCTTGTTGGAACCCAGAGATTCTCCAGTGCTGTGGGTTTGTTGACGATCATGGAGTGTTGTCCTGTCCTCCTGGGGCCACCGCTTTTAGGTATAGCATGTCTGTTTTAAAATATGATATGCATAAGTATGTAACCTATATAACTTCTATAAAGCACTAACCCTACTACCAGTACTAACTACTACTGCCAGGAGTAGATGGAGAATTTTACTAACTTTACTTTAAAACTTAAGTAGAATTCTCCCTAAGTCAGGAAGTGAAATTAGCTCCATAGTAATCATTTCAGGATTCAAAAATTTCTTGATAGGCTAGAATGTTATGCTGATTCTGAGATAAAATTCAACATGGATAAATGTAAAGGGATAAATGTACTTGGATGAAAAAAAAAAAGAAAAAGAAACAACTTTAAGTACAGGATGAGGGAGGCACAGACAGCCATTTGTCTGAAAAAGATCTAGGTGTGTTAGTGTCCCACCAGCTTATTATGAGTTACTGTTATGCCAAGGCATCAAAAAAGGTAAAGCTTTTTATCTTGGGATGCATTGAGAAGCATAGCTTCCTTGATGAAGGAGATGATAATCCCTCTGTCATCTGGTCAGGTTGTGTCTGGAGAGCTGTGTTCAGTTCTGAACAGCACAGTTTAAGAAAGCCTTTGGTAATCAGGAGAGTATCCAAAGGTGGGCAGACAGGGGTGGGGGGATTTTCATGTGAGAATCAGCTGAAGGAACTGAGAAAAGGGGAGTCCTCTAGCAGGACACTCAGGGGGAAGGAGGACAGGATAGCTGTTTTCAGATATTTGAAGGGCTGTCATGTGGAAGAGTCTCTTGATCAACAAGCATTTGTTAAACAACTACTGTGTACCAGGTCATGCTATTTGATGATGGGGATAAAAAGATGAAAAAATGAAACAATTCCTGCCGTCAAAGAGTTTGTACATTCTACCAAGAGGAGCCAATGTGTACTTAAATATTTCCAAATCATGTATAAAATAAATACAGAGTAATTTGGGGGGCGGGGAAGGTTGAAAATTATTAGACTCATTCTACTTGTCCTTAGAGGGAAGAACCAGGAATGTTGGATGGAAAGTCATAAGAGAAATACTTGTATTTGATGCCACGAAGAACTTGCTAACAGTTAAAGTTGTCTGAAAGTAGGGTGGGCTGCCTTCAAAGGTGGTGGGTTCTCATTAAGTTACTTCAGGTAGAGGCTGGATGTAGGGATTCCTTTGGGGTATGGGTTGGATAGATGACCCATGAGATCCATTCCACCTCTTCAGTTCTGAGATTTTGTAAAAGTACATAACTAATGGAAGAACTTGGTCTTTCTGAGAATGCTTCATGCCTTCAGGGCTATTTATTAGTTGTGCAGGATGGAACTCATGGATTTGTTTTGGCTTCTTTTCTGTGGGAGGGTGGGTAAGTAGTAAAGGAGCAAATAATACTAGACTATTAAATTGTCTTAAATAGACAAAATTGAATGCTCAAAACTAACTGGAGGTGTAATAGAAAGGGGTTCTAATCCTAGTTTTTGTTTGTTATTTTACTGACTAGAAGAATGTTTAGGTATTTCTTCTTTCCCTAAGCGTTAATTTCTTATTCCTTAAAATGAGATTGTTGGGCTAGATGATTTCTTTAGTTCTGTCATGTTTTTCATCCTAAAACTTCTAGGAGTAAAAAACTTGTAGAATCTGCTTCAGAAGCCCCAGTAGGGGTTCACATGATCCATGTATGTGATCCTCAGTGATCTATGACCCCTAACTAAATCTCACTGCTTCTAGTGTGAAAATTGTAGTTTGCAACTTTGCCATATCAAAATTCAGTGGTGGCATCTTGGGAGGCTGGTGATATCTCATCTTGCTAACCATGGAACATCTCTTCTTTTTTGATTTATTGTAGGTCGTCTCAATGATATGTATGGAGACTATAAATACACATACTGGGCCTGTGGCGTTATCCTGATTGTGTCAGGTATCTACCTCTTTATTGGCATGGGCATCAATTACCGCCTTTTGGCAAAAGAACAGAAAGCAGAGGAGGAACTGCAAAAGGAAGGAAGAGAGGAAGAAACCAACATAGATAACATTGAAAAGCAGAAAGAAGCCAATAAGGTTGTGGAGTCTGCCCAGCAAAAACCTCCAGAAGAAGGCCCCAAAGAGGAAGAAAATCGTTTTTAAGACTGCAGCACTGCAGAGGTGGGGAGATAGAAAGGAGACCTTAAAATGGTCTCCTGGCTGACTGGTACCAGTGGTGCTTAATGCAGAAAAGAGTATTTCTGTGCAAAATTGAACCAGGTGTTCCATGGAATTTTTCAATTTTGAGTTTTTTCCTTTTATATTTAATATCATTACAAACTAAATCTGCCATATTTTGGAGGGGAGTAAGGATGTGAAGGAAAGGAATTAGTTTTTACATATTGAATTTTAATAGTGACTTGAAGATACTTATGTGCCTTAAATGTTTGTATGTAGACCTCCTCATAAAAGCCTTAACTTTTTAAATAGTTTAGTTTTATTTTGTCTTTAAAATTATCTCGGTTTTTTAAAAATCAGGCAGCAAACATACCTGGAAGAAAAGTACACAAAACCCCATGTGATGATTAAGGCAGCAGTCCAAGCAGACTAGTTGATCCTAGTCTGAAACCAACTCTGCCTGCTTCATGGTACTTTTGTCATGTTCTGCTGGCATGTTATCCCAGGGAGCCATGTTGGAAGGACTGACTAAGAGCTTTGAAGTTATATTCTACTGTTAACATTTTTCCTTGTATAATTTTGCCTCCCATCCACATTTTCTAACCATGTATTTGTGTGAGTCAGAATATAGTTCTAAAAATTTTTTTTCCTTTAATATGACTTATTCTCAGTACTCCAAATTTTTTATTATTATTTTTCCCTGGGATAATAATTAGAAATTAAAAATGCTCATGGGAATTTTTTTTGAAAACACTATTATTAAAATTCACTGTTTTTTTAAAAGTGTATAGTGGGTACTTTTAACTCTTTATTGTCCATTAGCCCCACTTTTGAGATCATTTGGTTTATTTCTCTTTTTTTTTAATATTAGAAAGTGGAGTGTTTTTGTTTTTGTTTTTGTTTTTTTTTTAACAAACAAGTCTGTCTTTGGGCTGCCTTAGTAAACATCTTGAATTCCATTAAATGTAGAGTAGCATTTGAAGGAATGACTGAATTTAGCTCAGGTTTTTTTTTCCCCTTGAAACCTCAGTTAAACTTAGTGAGACTATTGGAAGCATTTTTTCTGGCAACTTGACTTTTCCTCTATTCACACTGGTTGCCTTTTGCTGTGCTCTGAGCTTTAAGTGTGTGTAAGGTTTTATTTTTGTTTGAAAGTTTTTCCATATTTGCATACTAAACCAGGCCAGAGGAATTTGGCATTGTAGACTGACTATTCAGGAGAAGATGTGAAGGAATTTGCTGCCGAACTTAATACTCCGTAAGAACTTTCACTGTCTTTCTCATTAAAGTGAAGATAATTAGTCAGAAACAATTAGATTTATTCTCTTCCCAGTAGAAACCTGAAGGGTTTGTGAGCCTGTTTATTCACTTCAAGTTAGAGAATTGGAGTTTGAGGAGATGAGAGATGGGGGAAGGGAAGATTAGGGGAAAGAGTTATCCCTAATGTCTTGTATACAGGGAGGAAAGAAGAGACTGATAAAAAGGCGGTCTGTGAATAGAGTTAACTTAGAGTAAGTGACATAGTAAAAGTCTTGATCCAAAACCTTGTAAAAGGCTAACTTTCCAAATAAATACTTTTTAAAAAAATTCATTCACCAAACTCTGATTTGTCTGTAGGAACCTGAGTCTTTTTTCATTTTTTATAGCTAAGTTCCAGAGTGTCACTTGTCAATATTAAACCAAATCATGCCAGCTTTTATGTGCCTTGGAGGTTTGTTTATGTGGTTGGTGTCCTTCATTTTTTTCATTCTCTGCTGTCCTTATTTTAAAACAGGCAGACAAGAGGTACATTTTTTTTTTTAAACTTCCTCTGTTACTTCAACAGCGTTCAGATCACTTAGACTTTGGGGAAAGATGCAGAACTCGCTTTTCATGTACAATGTGCCTGTATGGTTATCCTCCACCCCATCTCCCTATCCCCAGAATACATGTTTAGAAACAAAATATAATTGACTGAATAGGGTATAAATTTTGTTAGAATTCATAAAAAATCAAGAGGCTGGGGAAAGAGGAAGCTCTGTGGAAAGAGGCACTTACTGTACTCTGCAAGCAGAGATAAGAGTTCCATAGCCAGATAACAAAAATGACAGCACTTCTGTGTAGATTCATAGCATCTCATAACAAAAGAGGACCTTGGCAATCATCCTGTCAAATCCTCTCATTTTAAAGACACAGAAACTGAGGTCCCAAAAGCTAAGTGATCTGTCTTGTGCCAGGCAGCAAATGGGTAAGAATGTTGGAGTTCAAACCAGGCCTCCTAGCTCTCTTTCCTTTGGGTCACATTTCCTGTTCCTCTCAATGACCAGTTGACTTGATGTAAGTCAGACAAACAGAGGCTGCTGGTGCTTTCTGTCCTGCTGTGGAGGCTTTTGAATGTCGGAAGTGTAGGAATTCTTCAGTCGTCATTACATTTCACAGACTATTGCCCATTGCTTTAAGAAAACAGATATGTATGCACAGTCTGTTAGTCTGGCTGCTTCATCCTTTTTTCCCCCCATTCCCCACATTTCTTCATAGACCAGAGGAAAAAAAAGGCAGGTTTATTTGTAGTTGCAGTGCCAAATTAAAGAGAAATCCCAGGAGTTTCTTTTTGGCAGTGATTTCAACTCCATGCCTAAGATGGGGATCCTGTTACCGGTCATGTCTGATGAATGTCAGTAAAGTTTGTAAATTTAAAAGAAGAACAAAAATAAAGTTGAAATGAGTCAAGGGTAGAATCTGTCACCTAAGACAGAACTATTAAAGGATTTGGGGAAAATTCATCATTTTATTTCACTGAATGACTATTGAATTTAATAGGAATAAAGGCATTTTCTCTATTCTAGCTTAAAGCAACAACTAAAAAAAAAACCACAAGTTTCAAATTTTGTTGACAAATTTTACTAAATTCTACTGAAATTTGGAATTTTCTGCAAATTCAGCATGAGAAAATGACCAATATAAATTACTAGGTTATACAGAAAATTCTTTAGGAAAAGATAAGATAAAAAAATTATGAAAAACCTAGAGATATTCTTATATTAAATGACCATTTCTGAATATTTTTTTAAGCTCGACCCAGAGACAGTATTAAATGGTGTAATGTGAATAATTTTCTGTTTGGTCTTGATGGCTGACTGGGTTACTAGTTACATATGTACTGTATTTATGTGTGTGTGTGTGTGTGTGTATTTTTATCATTGTTGTCTTCCTAAGCTTTACAAAAGGAAAAGGACAATGTGGGTTAGAGTGTTTGCTTTTTAAAGCCATTTAATGTTTTGTATGAAGCAGTGTTTTATTGTATTGAATTTCGAACTTGTAAACTAGGTATTGATTTTATGTTTTAGTTCCAACTATTTAGGTTTTTTCTCCCTCAGTAAATGGTTCACACAATACAATAAACTTAGCAATTAGTACATGTGTTGTATCTATTTTTTCTTTTTAGAGGTAATTTGAAGAGGGAGAGGAAAGGTAAATGCTGAATTGATGCCTTCATAATAGGGCATTTTTACTACTAAAGTACACTTGTTTGAAATCATGTGCATAAAAGACCTCATTTTATAGTAGCTGAGGTACAGGTTGTTACCAGCCAAGCTTACCTATCATGCTCAAGTGTGGGCGGGCATCAGAAGTTTGGCCTTTGTAACAGTAGCCCAACAACCCAAACAAGAGGTCACCAGTGTGATAAACTGAGTTATAAGCAACAAGGATCTTCATTAACCTTTTGTTATGGATAAAATAAGTTAGTACTTAACAAGGTCCTAGAGTAGAGCTGGAAGGGCCCTTAGAGGTGATTTAAACCAACCCCTCTCATTTTACAAATGGGAAATTGAGGATAATAAAGTTTACACAACTTGCCTCTGGTCACAAAGGTAAAAGTAGTAGAGCCTGGATTTTGAACCCAGGTCTTCTGACTCCCAGCCGCAGTGCACTTTCCACAGTACCAGGCAGTCTCATTTGATTACTGTTCAAAGAGTTGTTGGCATGGCTTTGGGTAGGCAGAAAGGGGAATATTTATAACCAAGTTATAGCCGTATTCACTCAGAAGAGTAGGAAGAATAAGTACCCCACCTAGAAAGTTCAGGGAATTTTATAGCTCTTTGAAAAAAACAAACTAATAAACCAAAAATAGATCTGGCTACCTACCCAGCTTTCTGTATCTAACAAGGCCTTCTGAATATAGGCATTAATAAATGTTTAATTTCATAAGAGATCCATTCATATAACAGGCATGTGTTAAATAATACTAGGCATGGAAGATAGAAATACAAAGAAGGAACCATTCCTTAGCCTCAGGGATCTCACATTCTGTGGGGTTGGGAAATGAGGTAGCGACAATTAGGAGAATTGGAATAGGCCTAACTAGAGGATGGCAGGCATTTGTGCCAAGCCTTGAAGGAAGCCAGAGGTTGTAGGGGGTGGGAGGAAAGAGTCCATTCCAAACATGGGACAGGCTGTGCACAGGCATGCACTGTCATGTATGGAAGAGCAAATGGGCCAGACTCTCTAAGAGTCAAGTACAGGAATCCTGGAAAGGCAGCCTTGTGCCAGCTTGTGAAGGGCTCTAAGTGCTGAAGAGGGGAGTTTGTAGGAAAGCCAGAAGGAGACGCTGGAGCTTCATAAGCAGATGAATGACGTGGTGAGACCTATGCTTTAGGAAAATATTGGGTCATTGTGGGCAGACTGGAGGCAGGGCAACCACAGGTATACATTTGGGTGCTGTCATGTTAAGGAATTCCATTGGTGGTGACCTCTTTGGGCTAATTTATCTATGCTTACACTAGTCTCCTTTATTATCAAGATCCTGCATTTATAGGAGTCCTCTAACACAATGAATTGTATTTGGTTGCCATGGAACCGTATAGCTAAATAGCTTCCTGGCGTGCTAACTCATGTTTATAAAATAAAATATTATTAAACATTTACTGAGTGCCTTTGTTTAAGGTACTATAGTAGGCCCTAGGGCTACAAGGACAAAAAAAGTTCCTATCATCTAGCAGTGGAGGGAAGAATATTCTGCATGTACACAGATGAGTGAATACAAGGCAATTGGAAGAGGGAGAAAATGCTAATAACTTGAGGGGGGAGGCGGGATGGAGAAGATCAGGAAGAGAACAGGATGTGATACCTGAGCTGATCCCTTAAGAAGTGGGAAAAGGATTCTGAGAGGCAGGAGTAAGAAAGGAATACATCTCTGACACTGGGAATGGCCTCTGAAGGCCCAGGCGTGAGAGAGAGAGAATTCCATGCTAAAAGGTCACTTAGTGGTTCAGTTTGGCTGGAATAGAGTGCCTGAAGGGAAGGTAGGTTGGACCCAGATTGAGGGAACTTTAAATGTTAAGATAAGTAGTTTGCATTTTAGCATAAAGGTAATAGAGAGCCACTGAAGATTTTTGAGCCAGAGTGACATGATCAAATCTGCTTTAGGAAGACCTGTTATATATGGGGGATGAATTAGAGGCAGGGACAGATTGAAAGCAGAGAGACCCAAGTAGGAGTTTATTACGGACATGACCAAATGGAGGCCTACACGTTTTCTCTGACCCTCATAACCTCTCAGACTTTTCCAAAATAGGAATTATGTGAAAGAGACAAAGTAATTCTAACTGACTGACGTGGGACGAGAACTCAAACTAGATAAAAGCTAAATAAACTAACATTCAAGAAGGATAATAATCCCTAATTGCTCACTCAGCCATCCAACCCCACTTCCCCACCTG